AAAGCAAGAAAAAAATAATTCTGCAAAATAAGATACTCTACTTTGGTACAGGACGTTTTCTCGCTTGGCGTGGCGCTGGTGACGCTTTCGGTAAAATCTTTGACGATGCCTTTTCTACCACGGTTTGCTTTTCACGATCCCATACCGCTTTTGTCGCTTCCTTCTTTTTAGTGGTGACGTTAAACTTTGCCTTCATCGATACGGCGGTAATCTCATTACCCGCTACACCGCCGTCGTTCACAGTGCAAGAAAGCAAATTTTCCTTTCCTCGTAGCCTTGGCTTCTGTAAAGGCAAATTACTGACATTACAGACAAGTATTTACAGTTACTATAGAACAGAAGCGAAGCAAACGGTTCACCAAAACGTCGTACTCTAACGCACTTATGTATGTATGAGTGCAATGGTAGGTTAATAGGTTGCTTTCGCTTAAAACTCCGCATTTAGCTTAATACTCGGCATAAATTTTCTATAATTAACTGTTAATTCCCATGAGCAAGTAATTAAATTGTGCTTCTGTGCAATTAGCCGAAAAACGGATAGCAGGCCGTTGATCAGAGAACAAAATGAGCTAGTTGGCTGCAGGTTTTTGTTGTGTACCTGCCATAGCGTGCGAGGTATTTGACAACGCTGTCTAACGTGTGCGCGTTGCGGCTGCAATTCTCCTTAACTCATTTCATAGTTGTCTAAATGTCAGCACAACGTATAAACGTAAATTTACTTTAAAAAATTTAATTTCTGAGGACAACAAACTTATAAATTATTGTTCTGCCTCGGGCAGAGTGACTGTTCTGGCAGTGTAAAAGACGCCGTTACTGAGAAACGGTGCTACAGTAAGGCGGTTGTGTTGACGAGCGATAATGACCATTCACGTTTAGGTCTTCTGATAAACGAGTCACTTTATATTCTGACAGGAAAACAACCTGGTAAACAAATGTTCTCACTAACCGACTTGATGAATGATCGCGATCCGTTATCCACATGCCCTATGTTGCTGGCTTGTTGCCGCCCTGATCATGCCGTTAGTGTGGATCAGCAACGTACAACGAACTGTTACAGAAACAAACTTAAAAAGCGGTTTCAAGT